CGACGTCTCATTCTACGAGGAGCTGCTGGGGGACCTTTACCACATCGACCACGGGTACGTTGGGGACGCGTACGACTTGGGGTTCCCGGCGCACAGGGTGCGTCGGTACATAGTGTACAGGCACAAGACTAAGACCCGTGCTGCGATTTGCCAGCTCCCCGAGTTTATGAGCAGGTTGCGCCGTAGATGTAGCCTTACTTTCGAGAGTTTGCTCGTCGCCAGCGACGAAGAAATTGATGCAGAGCTAGCCTGGTCCCTGTCTCGCAGGTCAGTTCAGGAAGCTCGTGCCGTGAGCGGTGACACCGCGCCTGCAGCGTCGCTCACGGTGCGCACGATAGGTGATTTCGAGCGGGCGCTCACTGGATGCGAGAGGCAATACTTACGCCAGTACAGAACCATGTTTCCGAATTGCTGCTACCATCTGTACCAGAACCCTGACAGCGGGTTCGGCCAGCAGTCACCGTCTGATGGGGCGATGTTCACCCTCACTCGCAACAATGGCCTCATCTGGGCTGGCTGGCGGTGGTACACGCCGCGTGAACTAATCTTGTCTCAAGCTTTCCCAGTGGACACGTGCGATTGTTCGACATCCATGGGGGCCCATTGCTCATTTAATGTTGCGGATCCGACCCGTGCTCGCGACAGGTCGGCCATGAAGGGGCAAGCTGGTAATTCAATGTGTGTTGGCGCCGTTGGAGGCGCTATTGTGCACGCGATGCTTATCCCGTGCTCGGGCGTGTATGATAGGCTAGCACGCTTGAGCTCGCTCCGGCGGCGTACTGCTGCGCATTAGCTGCGCTAAAAGAGCGGCGACATCCGCCTGTCTATCTGTCTATCTCCGTTTCTTTACATTTTTTCCCCCTTCCCATCAGCCCATCCGCCCCTCCTGCTCCTAACCTTGTCGTCCCCGTCATCCTCCTTCCTCCTCCTCATCCAGCCTCCCCCCCCTCATCCTCCCTCCTCCTCCTCCTCCAAGGAGGGGAGGGGCATGCGAGGAGGAGGAGGAGGAGGAGGAGGAGTGGGATGATGAGGAATATGGTGAAAATGTGGAGGAGGAGGAGGAGCAGGAGGAGGAGAAGGAGGAGGAGGAGGAAGAGGAGGAGGAGAAGGAGGAATAGAGGAGGAAACGGAGGGGGAGGAGGAGGAGGAGGAGGGCGGGGATGAGGAGGAAGACTTCGGAGGAATAGAGGATGGAGGTGGATGATGAGGATGAATATGTATCTTGCCCGAGAAGGGAGGGGGCGTCACGCGCGTCCTCCTTCCTCCTTCCTTATTGTCGATATTTTTCTTACCCGCGCGATGCGATATGGACTGCACGCAGCACTGTCGCACCGATCCGAGCTCTCCTGGCGGCGCGGCCCAAACAGGTGGGAGCCGCAGTGGGAGCCCCTTGCCGGCCGCCGGGCCCTGAGGGTGGCGAACAAGGCCCCCCCCCCTTGCCAGCAACAAGACTGCGCCACGCTACGACGCTACGACGATGAGAAGGATCGGACGCGGATGATGATGAATAGGGGGATGAGGAGGATGAGAAGATTGATGATGATGATGGCGATTACTGATGGTGTGGATGACGGATGACGATGCTGATCATGGATGCGGATGTGAGGAAATTGGGGATGTTGATGAGGATGATGATGATGGGGCGGGGACTGCGGCGGGGACTGCGGATGCTGGGGGGGGGGGAGGAGGATGATGATGATGAGGAGGAGGAGGAGGCTAAGGAGGATGAGGGATGTTGATGATGATAATGTGCCAGGGTGAAAAGGATAAGATGGAAGCTGATGAGGCTGATGAGTATGATGAGGATGACGAGGAATATGAAAAGGAGGACGGCGTCGGACGAGGTTGACGATGTGATGACGAGGATGATGATGATGATGATGAACATGATGATCAGGATGGTGATGACAACGTCTCTGACAACGTTGGAGATGCTGCTGATGATGCTAAGGTCCTCGCACCCCGTCATCCCCCTCCTCTTCTATTCTATTCATCCGCCTCATCTGCCTTCTCGTCACCGTCGCATCCTCATCCTCATCCTCCTCCTCCTCCTCCTCCTCCTCCTTCTCTCCTCGCTCATCCTCCTGCTCACCTCTCCTTCCCCCTCCCTCCCCCCATCCGTTTTATCCTCGTCCTCAACTTCTTCCTCCCTCCTCCTCTCCTCCTCCGCCTCCTCATCATATGTCCCCCCTCCTCCTCCTGAGGTCATCCCCGCCTCCGATCCGCTGGTGAAGAAAAAAACAAGCGAAACCAAACAACGCAGTCCTGCTGAGCCTGCTGGCCGGGCCGCGCCGTGTTTGCCCCCATCGTCGCCGCTCCTGACCAGACGGGGGGCGCTCCCTCCGTGCCACGTCGCCGTTCCTTCCTCCGCCCTCCCCTCCCCAGAGCACGGCCAGTGGGCCCCTCACATGAGGTGAGGGGAGACTCGGAGATCGGAGAGACAGACTCCATAGGTGCCATACCGCCCCCATCGTCCCTCCGCTCCCGCTCGTCGTTCCTGTCCTTTTCCTCTCTCTCCTCCCCCTCCTCCTCCTCTTCCTCCTCCTCTCCTCTTCCTCCTCAGCCCTCCTCCTCCTCCTCCTCCTCCTCCTCCTACCGTTATCATCCTCCTCATCCTTCTCGTCCCTCAACACTCTCATCGTCGTAGTCCTCCTCGTCCTCCTCCACCTCCTCCCTCTCCTCCTCCTCCTCCTCTTCCTCCTCGTCCCCCCCCCCTGCCCATGTCCGCCCCATGGCGCTCTCTCCTGGAATCGCTCGTCAGTGTTGTCCAGCATGACAGCATGACTCAGCATGACAGCATGACAACAACGCTGTTGTTGTCATGCTGTCATGCTGGATCCCTCAGCCTATGGGCCTATGGCCGCCTATGGCCCATGACAAGAATATTGGAGACCGTCTCGTGGGCAAGCCTGGCAAGCCTTGCGCCCGAGGGCTGGCGGGGCTGATTGTCTGATTGTCTGATTGTCCCTCTCGGCGTCTCCCCCATCAACGACGCTGCGTCGGTGCGTCGGTAAATCAATTGGCCCAGGGGCCCATGGGGTCCCATGGCCCCGTCTGCGTCGACCACCCCCCCAGACACCCAGACGCGTCGACCACCCCCCCTCCATTCCCTCTCTCAGCCATTTGTCTCGAGGCTTCGTGGCGCCCTCCGCCGCTCCGCGAGGCCGCGCCGTGTCGGCCGCCAGCAGGCTGTGCACCATGGCCGCCGCCGCCGCCCAGCAAGTCGTGCAGTCCGGGGAGCCGCCGGCCGCTCCCAGCGCTGGTGATCTAGCCGTCCGCACGCTCTACCAGGACGACGTCTCGCTGGAGGAGTTGCTGGGCGACCTGGAGGGTAGCATGCGGCTCTCGAAGATCTTCTCGTTGTATTGCGTCTGCCGCTCCAAGACGGTGCCCTGGTTCTACGTCGACGACCGCGGCGTGACGCGCCAGTCGGTCGACACCCACTCGGCGAACAAGCGGAGGCGCGCCACGGTGTTCAACAAGTACGTGCAGAGCTTCAAGGACAAGGGCGTCGTCTTCGGCGTCGGAGGGCACCCTTGGCTCGTCATGAGCGGCGACCTGCACCAGCCCGGCAGCGGCTACCCCCTGAAGGCGATCACCTGGGGGACGAGGTCTCATGTCGACGGAAATGCTGGGGGACGGGGGCAATCGTGCGTCCTCATCGTCCTCATGCGTGTTCTTTTTGGGAACACGCAAGAGGACGACGATGGCGACGGCGACGACGTGACGACGTCAGCGTCGCCATACGTGCCATACGTCAGCCAGGTCCAGGGCATTCTACGAGGCCGTGCGCCAGACGAAGGAGAGCGGGGTCGCCAACAAGCTCATCGAGTCCTCGCTGGAGGATGGCTTGCAGGACGAGCCGCTTCCTTCTCCTCTCCTCCTCCTCCTCCTCCGAGGTCCTCCTCCTCCTCCTCGTCCTCCTCCTCCTCTCCTCCCCCTCCTCCTTCCTCCTCCTCGTCCTCCTCCTCCTCCTCCTCCTCAGTCCTCCTCCTCAGTCCTCCTCCTGCTCCTCCTGCTCCTGCTCCTCCTCCTCCTGTTCCTCCCCCTCCTCCTCCTCAGTCCTCCTCCTCCTCCTCCTCCTATTCCTCCTCCCCTCCTCTCCACTGAGCCCAGAGGATTGCGTCCTTCTTCATGCGCGGACGCCCCTGCCAGTTTTGACCTGGCTCCGCGATTACCACAACGCGATCCACGAGGGCGCGGGCTTCTCGTTCGTGGAGCTCCTCCTGGAGGTGCCAGCCATGGAGGCCGCGTTCCTTGCGCACAAGGACAAGTCGGGGTTCACGTCCCGGAAGCGGGCGGCTGCCGCGGCGGCTGCTGCTGCCGACGACTCCACCGTCACCACTGCGCCGTCGTCGCGGTCGGTTGACGCGCGCGCGGAGGCGCCGGACGAGGAGCTGGAGCAGAGCTACGAGCAGGTGTACTGGGAGTACATCAAGAAACATTTCGGCGACAAGGTGCACAGCTGGAACTCCTTCGACAAAGCGAAGATCATCGCTCGTGCCCTCTCGCGGTTCGGCGTGCTGGACCCGCTATCCTTCCCCCCTCCTCGTCCTCCTCCTCCTCCTTCTCCTCCTTCCTCCTCCTCATCCCCCCCTGGTCCCCTGACTCCTTCCCCCCCTCCCCCTCCCTCTTTCGTCCCTCCGCTCTTCCTCCCTCCTCCTCCTCGTCCTGCTCCTCCCTCTCCATCCTATCGTCATCCATCCTCCCGCTCACCCTCCCGCTCCCCCTTAACGCCTTAACGCCGCCTTAACGCTCAACGGCCCCCCTCTCCTGCACCTCCCCCTTCATCGCTTACGAACGATCCTGCCCCTCCCTCTCTCTCTCTCTCTCTCTCTCTCTCTCTCCTCTCTTTCCGTCCTTCCGTCCTTCCGTGCGTCCGCCAGTCCCTGACTCCTCCTCCTCCCCTTCCTCCTCCCCCTCCTCCTCCCCCTCTCAGCTCCTCCTCCTCCTCCTCTTCCTCCTCCTCCTCCCAGGACATGTTCGTGGTCTACTGCCAGGAGTCGGTGGATTTCTTGAACAAGACGCTGAACGCCGAGAGCGTGCTCATTTGCTTGCACGCCGTCGCTTCTGGTTTCCCTCGTGCGTTCTCGAAGTTGCTGGCACCGCAGGAGTTCACAGTCACGTTCCTGGAGCTGCTCAAGATGTGTGTGCCGCCCTGCCCCTCGGCGATCGATGCGAATCGTATAGTGACCCAGTGGATCATCGACAAGCCAGGCAAGGACTTCCTCAACCGTCTCCTGACGCCCATGGCCTCCAGCAAGGTGTTCATGTTGCAGCCGCAGGTCCCGGAGCCCAAGATCAAGAAGGCCAAGAGTGGACAGCAGGCGCCCCCGCCGTCGCCGCCCAAGGAGATGTTCCCGCTCACGGTGGACGTGGTGAACTCCGACTCCACGCGGGACGTCACGTTCCTCGACGACGTCTGGGCGATGTTGCGGCACGCGCAGTCGGTCGTCAAGTTCCACGGGCACGACGGCAAGCTCTCGCCTCAGGTGCACGACAGGCTCATCTCGAAGGCCTGCTCGTCCGCGCTCGAGTTCGCGCTTGCTGGGCACATTACAGTGCGCCGCAAGAAGGTAGATGCTTGGAGCAAGGTTCGCTGCGTCTTGCGTGACATGGTCATCGCTGCTCACGAGTCTGGCGCGGTGGCCTTGGTGGCCAGCACTGGGGACCCGACTGCGGACATGATGGCGGCGCTCATGGCGTCGACGGCAGCCGCCGACGACGCCACCGCCGCCGCTGCGGACGCGAAGGAGCGCGCTGGAGTAGCTGCCTTCCTGGCAGACGCTGGCATTCAGGAGCGCCTGTCGGCCTTCATCAAGGCCCAGCCGCTGCACTTGCCCGCGAGCATGCACCCCGTGCACATCGACCTGGCCAAGGCTGTGTGCGAGGGCGGCGGCAGCAACAACATGACGCAGGCGAAGGACCTGCTCAGCAAGTTGTGGGTCATCCTGAACGCCGCGATCCCTCCTGCTTGGATCGCCATGGCCATTGATGCCGCCGACTGTCTCGTCATCGACGGGTCTCTCCCGGACGGTCTCGACGATGCGGGCGTCGCGCCAGAGATCGTCCCTCTCATCAGCCACGTGCGGGGCAAGTACGTGCAGTCGCTGATGCTCATGGCCGTGGGGCAGCTCGGCACGAACGTCATCGACGTCGACGTGCCGAAGGCGATGCAGTTCCTGGCGAACAGCGACGTGCTGAATGTCGCTTGCGACCTAGATGCCTGCAGCTCTTCGCGAGAGGCATGGCATGCCAACTGGCTGCACGTGTTGTCGGAGCTGGCCAAGGTGCAGAGCTCCGACCAGGCGCTGGCCGTCCTGAACGAGAGGCTCGGGGAGATCACGCCAGGCGACGACGGAGCGGCCGGAGCCGCTGCCTCCAGCGCCGTTGGAGCGACGGCGAAGGCGAGGGCGAAGCCAAAGGCTGCCCCGGCCCCTGCCCCTGCGCCTGCGGCGCTGGCTCAGGCTGCTCAGGAAGAGCCGCCGCCGCCGCCCCCGGACTCGGAGACATTGGCGACGCCGTGGCACATGCCGTTCGACAACATCTACGACCTGGCGTCTGGCAGCGTCAACATGCGGGAGGCAGACGCGTTCTCTCGGGCCGCGGCCGCGGCCGCGCCTGTCGCCAGGGACAGCCGGGCAATGCAATCCTCCGCCTCCTCCTCCTCCTCCTCCTCCTCTTCCTCCTCCTTCGGACTCCTTCCCCTCCTCCCCCTCCTCCTCCCTCCTCCTCCTCGTCGCCGCCGTCGTCGTCGTCGTCCTCCTCCTCTTCCTCATCCCCTTACTCCTCCTCCTCATCCCTCCTCCTCCTCCGCCACCTCTGCCTCCCTTTCCTCCTCCTTACCGCTCGCTCCACCCTTCGCTCCGCCCCCCTCCCTCCTTCCTTCTCCTTCCCTTGCTGCTGCTGCTTCTCTGCTTCTCCTCCTCATCCACGTCCTCGTCTTCCTCCTCTTCCTCCTCCTCCTCCTCCTCCTCCTCCTCCTCCTACTCCTACTCCTCCTCCTCCTTCTGGTCCTCCACCGTCCTCCACCTCCCCCTCCTTCTCCCTGGGTCCCTGGCCGTCCCGGGTCCCTGGCCGGGTCCCTGGCCCCGTTATCCCAGGGCCCCGCCCCCGCCCTCACCTTTGTCGTTTCGTAAGTCAGTCAGTCAGTCAGGTCACCATCGACGCCCTGTACCTCGTGCGCCTCCAGAAGGCCCTGGAGAAGTTGTTGTGGGATCACGTCGACGCGCACGACTGGGGCGACATCACCTTCCTGGACCTGGGCTCCAAGAGCCACAGCGAGCTTGCGGTGACCCGCGTGGTGGAGCAGCAGCTGAGGTTCGTCCTCGCTGGCACGGTGAGCACCAAGCACCAGCCGAAGTCCATCCAGATCGCGACGGTGCTCGGCATCGACTTCTTCGTGAGCGGCTCCTCGCACAACAGCATCCAGTCGGAAGCGCCGTTGCCTGGCTGGCTCGTGGGCACCTGCGCCAAGGCGAGCCAGGCGAACGTCGAGTTGACGTTCGAGACGTACGACCACAAGCTCGATGCCTTGTCACTCTACCCCATGACGGTAGACCCCGCCGCAGACCCCGCCCCTGCCCCAGGCACATGCATCAACGTGAAACTTAAGGTGCCAGTGATCAAGCCGGTCGAGGGCGCCATCGGCAACGTCTGCGAGGCAGGCAAGCCGTTCATCCTGAAGAGGTTCGTGCCGCGGCCGAAGGCCGCTGCCGCCAAGAAGGGCGCTGCCGCCGCCGTGACCGTGCAGGAGGGGGGGCCCGACACGTCCAAGTGCATGGGCCCGTCGGCTGTGAGCATCGCCGCGCGGATGCACCAGCTTGCCAATGCTGAGGATGCGCCAATGAGCATCGTCGCTAGGCAGCGCAGTGCCCCAGCAGCTTCGGCGAAGCACATTCTTAAGTAATTGCGCCGTCTGCATGTGACCATCAATGCAGTCGCGCGATCGCCGCGAGCCCCGCTGGTGTTGCGAGAGCTTGCGCGTCCGATTCGGAATTTTTGACAGGCATGTTTCAGGGCGGCCCGTTATCGCCGCCGAGCGACGAGCACGATGCTGGCGCGCATGTTGTCGTCAATACCCGAGCGCGTGTGGATTTTGCGCTCGCTATTGACGCACGCGGCCATTGCAGGGCATCCGTTGCATTTTGTGTTCATACGCGCGCGAGCTCGGCTCGCGCCGGCCAGGGTGCGGCCTTGGGAATATGGGAGGGGCCCGAAGGGGATCATCATCATGATCATCAGGAGTCGGATAGAAGGATTGGGAAGGTGATTGAGGCATTGAGGCCGCCTGCAGCCCCACCGTGCTGCTCGGCCCTGGCCGCGCTCCGCCGCTCCGCCCCGACATCGGGGCGCGGGCGGGCCCGCCCTTCCGCCCGCCCCGACATCGGGGCGAGCCGGGCACGCGACGAGCTGAGCTCGACACCTGAGCTCAGCTCGACTTCTTCATCGGTGCGCGCTGGACGCGCGAAGGCGGCGACGTCGAGAGAGCTAGCCATCGGGCCATCGCGTCCCTCGTTCCTCCCTCCTCCTCCTCATCCTCCTCCTCCGAGGTCCTCCTCCTCCTCCTCCTCCTCCTCCTCGTCCTCCTCCTCCTCCTCCTCGTCCTCCTCCTCCTCCTCATCCTCCTCCTCCTCGTCCCCTCCTACAGTAGCCTCCTACACATCCGAACGGGCCCCGCCCGAGGGAGGAGGAGGAGGAGGAAAAGGAGGATGAGGAGGGGGAGGAGGAGGAGGAGGAGGAGGATCGGAGAGGAGGAGAGGAGGGGGAGGAGGAGGGGGAGGAGGAGGAGGAGGAGGAGGAGGAGGAGGAGGAAGTAAAACTTGAGGGCCGCAGTCCTCGCCCTCCTTCCATATCTTCCTTTCCTATTTCGCCGCCGCTCCTCCCTTACGGTTGCGATGACTCGATGCCCCACCCCAGCCAGTCGCCGCGTCGGCGTTCGGATTCGGGCAACCCGTGGATCCACTCGTCCATCCATGTAGCTGCTGGGAGAGGGTAAATCAACGCTTGCATCGCCGTCCATCCGTGTAACTGCTGGGCGTGGGCGTGGGCCCATGCGTGACATTAAGACACCATACGTACAGTACGTGTCAACTCATCTCCACTCCTCATCATCGCTATCCTGATCATTATCCTCATCGTCATCCTCGTCGTCATCGTCATCCTCGTCATCGTCGTCATCGTCATCTCCACCACTCCTCATCGTCATCCTCGTCGTCGTCATCGTGTCTCCTCTGCGTGGCGCCACCTGCTCATCATCCGCCTCCTCCGACCTCCTCCTCCTCCTGCTCATCATGCCCCCCCCCTCCTGCCCCCTCCCATGCTCGTGCTCCTCGTGTCATCTTCTTCATCCCCCCCCCGCTCGTCGTCGCCGCCGCCTCGCAGGGTGAGCGGCGCCGCGTCCTGGCGGCCCGCCGCGGCCCGCTTGGCCAGCGCTGTGGCGCTGCTGCGCCGCTGCGCCGCCCGCCGCAGCCCGCCCCGCTCTCTCGCGCCGAAAGCGGGGAGATCGGAGACGGTCCGAGACGGTGGGACGAGGCAGCCCCGTCACGAGGCTGGCACAAAGAAGAGGTGCGGTGGGGGAGGAGGAGGAGGAGGAGGAGGAGGAGGAGGAGGAGGAGGAGGAGGAGGAGGAGGAGGAGGAGGAGGAGGAGGAGGAGGAGGAGAGGAGGAGAGGAGGAGGAGAGGAGGAGGTGGATGATGACGAGGATGAGGAGGAGAGGATGGGAGGATGAGAGGATGAGGAGGGGGTGGAAGATATGGTGGAGGAGGAGGATGAAACCGATGATGAGTAGGAAGAAGAGGAGGAAGGGGAGGGGCGAGGATGATGAGGAGTGTCGATGGTCGTTGGTCGTTGTGTTACGTTTCTGGGACCTTTGGGCATCCTGCGGCGCCATCGCGGACACTGCTGGATCCGCTTCGAATCTTTGGCCAGCTGGGTTTGATGCCGCAGGTGCAGCGCGCGCGGAGGGGAGGGGTAGTGCCAGATTGGTAGTAGGGGATTGGCGATGATGAGGGTGAGAGGAGGATAGGATGATGATGATGATGATGATGGTGAGGAGGAGGAGGAGGAGGAGGAGGAGGAGGAGAGATGGCGAGTAGGAGAGGAGGAGGAGGAGGAGGAGGAGGAGGATTTCTGCCGGGCAGCGACGGCGCCGACGACGCCGACGACCGCAGTGGTGCGGAGTGGGGGGGAGCGCAGCTTCGACGACCTCGTCGTCGTCGAGTCGTCGTCGTCGTCGCCGTCGTCGTCGTCGTCGTCCTCCTCCTCCTCCTCCTCCTCCGCAGGTCCCATGCCTATCCCTTCCCTCCTTTCCTCCCTCCGCCATCCTTTACCTCCTCTTCCCCTTCCACCGTCAGTTGCTTCCTTTCACACTACTTTCGAATCAGTGCTTGCAGCGTCAAGTGCGATGTCCACGTTATACGCACAGGGCGAAGGGAGCGCCATAGAGCGCGACTCGCGGCACCACGCCGTCTTCACTTACCGTAAGGTTAGGAGCCACCCTAAAGGAGGCCGTCTTCCTCCCCCTCCTCCTCCTGCTTTTCCTCCTGCTTCTCATCCTCGTCATCCTCCTCTTCGTCCTCCTCCTCCTCCTCACCCTCCTCCTCGTCCTCCTCCTCCTCCTCATCCTCCACCTCCTCCTCCTCCTCCGCCTCCTCCTCCTCTTCCGCATCCGCATCCTCCTCCTTATCCTCGACCTCATCCTCCTCGTCCCGCTCCTCCCCCTCCTCATCCTGATCATGTTTTCCGTTGGTTTCCCCCGTGTTCTTCCTCGGCCTCCTCCGCCTCCTCCGCGTCCTCCTCCTCCTCGTCATCCTCCCTTTCCTCCTGCTGCTACTCCTCCTGCGCGTCCTCCTCCTGCTCCTGCTCGCCGTCGTCGTCGCCGTCCTCCTCCTACTACTCTTCCACCTCCTCCTCCTCCATCCTCTTAGGCTTCCCCATCATTACCGGCTGCGCGCCGCAGGTAGGGGTCGGCGCTGCCAGATTACACCGCCGACGCGCGCAGACAGCGCAGGGTAACGAGCCATTCGGTCCTCCATCACCATCATCACCATCACCATCACAATCATCACCAGCATCATCATCAGTATCATCATCAGCAGCATCATTACCATCATCATCATCATCATCATCATCATCATCAACACCGTCGTCACCATCGTCATCAGCAGCATCATCACCAGCATCATCACCAGCATCATCGGCAGCATCACCAGCCTCAGCGATCATCATCATCAGCATCATCATCATCATCAGCAGCATCGTCATCATCATCATCACCATTGTCATCATCATCATCATCGTCATCATCATCAGCCGTATCATCATCATCCTCATCGTCGTATTCCTCTTCCTTCGCCCCCGCCTCCGCCTCGTCCCCCTCATCTTCCTCGTCATCCTCCTCCGCTCCAGGTCTTCGGGCTCAGAGGCATCGCTGGGGCCTGCGCGGGGTGTTCAGGCGCTCGGGCTCAGAGGCATCGCTGGGGCTTGCGCAGAGCGTCCAGGTCCTCGGGCTCCAGAGCGCCCACGTGCTCTGGGGCACTTTTCTGAGCGTCCGCGCGCCGTGGAGCACTTTTGAGAGCGGCCACTTGCTCTGGGGCATTTTCAGAGCGCCCACTTGCTCTGGGGCACTTTGCGGAACGCCCAAACACGCACGGCCGTTCTGAGCTGGTTGTAAAGTGGTCCGTTCTGGTTGTAAAGTGGCCCGTTCTGGTTGTAAAGTGGTCCGTTCTGGTTGTAAAGTGAGCCGTTCTGGTTGCAAAGTGGACGTCCTCGATGAAAAACCATATTTTCCAATCCTATGTTGGTTGTAAAGTAACCCATCTGGTTGTAAAGTGGTTGTTCTGGTTGTAAAGAGACCGAATCTCGGGCCCCCCCCCGCGGCGGGGGCCCGGGCCGGGGCCCGGGCCGGGGCGGGCGCTGGGGAGGCAGGGGCCGAAGGGGAGGGCCCCCCGCGCGGGAGAGGCGGCAGCCCCCGAGACTCCCGGGGCCCAGCGCGCACATCTCGCTCGGGAGCCTTGAGACGGGGGTCAATGCAAACGGGGGTCAGCCAGAGCGACCGATCTTGCAGGGTGCTGCAGGGCCAGGGGCGCACTGACCCGGGCTTGGGTGCAGGGGCCTGCAGGATCTTGCAGGATCCTTCGCAATGGCCCGGGCTTGGGTGCAGGATCTTGCAGGATTTGCAGGATTCTGCAAGGCCTGACTGACCCGGGTCTGGATTGGCCCAAGTCAGAAGCGCACGTGTCACGAGTCAAGCAGTGGCGAAGCGTCTTGGCTCGCCTATAGCCTTACCAAACAATGTTCTATGCTCTAAGAACCTTTTGTGGTTCCCACAAAATATTAGAACATTTCTGGCGGAGTCTGTCTTGTTTTATCACACCGGGTTTATGTTCTAAGAACATCGGTTTGTTCTTAGAACATGCGTGGGTTCTAAGAGCATTTCGTGGTAGGACTATAGGAATGCCGGGACGGTCGGTCTCTGCTCAACACAAGGTGGCGAGCAGCAGAGCAGCGAGAGGAAGAGAAGGAAGGAGCAAATTCGTGGGAGCGAGACGGTGCGCGACCTCCAGCTCCCTCAATCGAAATATAGCCCAATAGATCGGGGGCGGAAAAGAGGGGGGTGATGACTAGGGGGGGTGGATATCATGGCGCGGGCCATAATATCTCCGCAGATTTCATGGCGCCTCTTCTTATCTCATTACGTCCTTGGCCTCCCCTTTGGGCCGCGCACGTGCCGCCGGTCATGATTTGCACCCCCCCTCTTGGACACCCCCCTTTTTGCCGCTCCTCGAAGCAACATGTATATTTATTCTCTTGCACAGCTGTGCTCGGACATCTTTATTTTCGTCGTGGTTCGTGGTTCGTGGTGGTTTGTCCCCCTGGGTCCCTCCCCTGAGCCTGAACCCCATCTC